TAGTTCCACTGGCAGATGATTTCAGTTATAACAAGACATTTCTGCCAGGTTGTAAGTGAAATAAACTGCCAGTGGAACTAGAACTGGGTTGCTAAGTAACGGGCGGGGCTTGGCTGGGGTTGCTAGGTAACGGCGCAGTGACTGTTGACTGTAAATTAAGTGGAACTAGAACTGGGTTGCTAAGTAACGGGCGGGGCTTGGCTGGGGTTGCTAGGTAACGGCGCAGTGACTGTTGACTGTAAATTAAGTGGAACTAGAACTTTTTTTTTAATCAATATTAAGGAAGTACTGACTTAAAACAAGCTCCCATATCTTGCTGACAAGTTGCTTATTAGTTAATTTGATCTTATTTAAAATGAACTAAGATAAACACTAGAAACTAGATCAAAAATACTTGCAGTGTTTAACATCTAACAGAACAAACAAAGTGTTTCGCAGCAACTCACCATGACTGACAGCAAATCGTAGTTTCTGTATGATCGCCAGGTTCCCGCTAACTCTATACAGCCCGTCTACATACAGACCTGTGGAGGAACCAAACACAAAAAATGGGTCAGTGACTTTTATGAAGCTTATCAGGAAACAACCTGCAGGTAAACTGCAGTTCCACCTCGACACTCACCGTTGTTCTCCACATGATCGATGCACATCCTGACGAAGTTCGGTACCGTGGTGTTCTCCTGCTGACACAAGCCGGACAGACTGCAGCCGAAAACCTGATCTGAAGAAACAAATGACAGGAAACGGGTCACTTCTCTCCCTTCATTCAAAAACCGTCAGCAGAAAACGTTCTTTAAGCATTTGGGTTTTAAATCCACTCATCTTGGGTATGAATGTAAATTGATCTGGGGCGTTTTGTGATTTATTTAAATGGATATTTGTCTTTGCATAATTTTACATCCTATACTTTAAGGAATTTGCTGCATAAGTATGAATTTGCTAAACTGTACTTACAGATGTGTTTACAGATGTATTTAAAGTCATAATTAGGAGATTAAAGTCATAAATCTGAGGTGATCATTTTGAGATTAAAGTCCTAATTTCAAGAAAAAAGTTAGAATCTGAAATTAAAGTCATCATTTTTTTTACTACTGTCCCTAATCCTTCTCCATAACAAAGAGTGTGTGGATGCTAAGATGCATTTGTTTAAATATCATAAATATGTTTAAATTAGAACCAGTAGGAACCGTTTTAAATTAAATAATTTCTACTTCTGTCTCAAAGTGAGAAAGCTGTCTTCATTTAAGCAGCTTCAGCAAACAGATCTCTTATTTTATATATTGTAGTTTTATAAAAATCAAATGTTTTGCATGTAGTTTTCTAAATGCAAATGTCTGCTCAGCTAAGGAGTTTTCAGTGTTGGAAACACCAAAAAAAGTCACAATTTGCCACCAAAAACATAGAAAAATAAGAAAACAGAATAGCATTGTCCTTAAATATTTTTTACAGCCAAATTAGAAAGAGAGAAAAAAGTTGTGCTGTTGATGTTTTGATTTTTCATGACGGAACCCTTAATAAAGCTGTTTGATGATTAAACAGGAAGTAGGTTTAATGGATAAAACGGCCCAAACAGTGAAGGACTGCAGACCTTTGATGTATCCCTTGTCCCTGACGGACTGCATGGTGGGCCGGCGGTTCAGCAGCTTCTTCAGCTTGTGTCGGGTCTTCTTGGTGTCGGTGGCCTCAACGCTGGCCGACGGCTTCATGGCTGAGGAGGAGAAATGGGAGAAGACACCGTAACTCACCCCTTGCCTCAGCACTTTGGTCCCCATGTCTCAATGTTTTCCTCAGAATGAAACTGATAAGGCACATGCTCCAGCTTCATAAAGTTTTTGGACTTTGTTCTTTAATTTATTTCCCTTGAAAGCCAGTTTACGGTCCAACAGGGCAGAGGAATCAAACAGAAATATTCGACTTTCACTTTCAGTCGCCTTCAGCTTTAACTTTAGCTCTGACCTTTGTCTTTCTTGGAGAGTCTTTGGTCTTTGTCCTTGTCGAGTTTCTCCGCGCCGGGCGACTCGGGCATGTCCTCCTCGATGGCCTCGTCGGACTCCCAGACCTGAAACACAGAGGAGGAAATGAGATACAAGGGGCTGTAAAGGTCCAATTGCTTGCTCTTTGGCTTCTCTGAACAGGAAATCAGGAAGTTTACGCTCAGGTTGTTTAAAGATGTTTTTGTTTCAATTCAACGATCATCTTTGAGAGTTTTAGTTTGTAAGTAGAGGGTAAAATATGATGTTTTTTTTTAACCAATTGCACTCCAAAAACTGAAAATCTTAGTACACTTGAAATAGGACAAAACTAAATTACAAGTAACTTTTCAGCAATATTTAGGAGTTGTTGTATTTTTTATTTAAAGGAAAAAAACAAAGGCAACTAAGCCAGTAATTTAAGTTACAGCATTTATGCACATATTTATGTTTAAATATAAACTGATGGAATTTGATTCAGTATGAATTAAATGTTTGTTTACACTGTCTGAAAACTGAATCTCAAAACTGTTTGAACAGAAAAAAATGGTTTCTCTATTAAAAATCGCTTATGAATTGAATTGTAACTCTAAAAATCAGAATCAAATTGCTAGACACAATTCAAATCTTAGCACAGTTGAAATAAGACAAAACTAATTTGCAAGTAACTTTTTAGCAACATAAGTGAGTTTTGTTTTAAGTCAAAAAGGTCTCAATATGGATGAAAAAGTTCCACTGGCAGATTAATTCACTTAAAACAAGACATAATAGTATATCTTGCTTAAAAGTTACTTGTAAGTTAGTTTTGTCGTATTTAAAGTGCATCAAGATATTTGTACTAGAAACAAAAATTACTTGGTAATGTATGTTTTTGCAGTGCAGGGTCTGAATTATCTGATCTAATAAAGTTCAGTTCGCAGCAGGAACCAAATCGTTTCCATTTGTTCCTCTTATCGTGCATCTACAGTCTCAAACTCTTCCTCTTTCTGTGCATTCGTTTGGCTGCGGCCATCTTGTTTGTGGGTGAAGCAGACGGACGGTGCAGCAGCGGGGTCAAACACTCACATGTGCGCTGATGGCTTCCTGCAGAGCTCTGAGCCACTCGTTCACCACGGTGTCGTTTTCAGACCAGAGCAGCAGCTCCGTGCCCTGACGGATCTTCAGCTGCAGGCGGCAGACAAGAAAAAGGGAAAAAGTTTGTTAATTTTATAAATCAACTTTAAAAAACACTCCTTACATAAGATTATTTTCTGTAACGTTACAAAACATCTGATTTACCTGGAAATATCTTAATGTTTGTTTTTATCTGAACCAGTTTTAAAACTTTCTTTTTTCCTCATTTTTTTTTTTACAAATAATAAATACTATTGAGAAATAGTAAAAGTGTCCTGAGTCGACGGAAAAGGAGTAGGGCCACAGAAAAAAATAAAACTGTAACCTCAGAAAGTTTTGCATGGCTGATTAAAATATGAGATTAAAAGGTTAAAATTCTGAAATAAAAAGTTTAAATTGTAAGGAATAAAAGTCAAAATTGGCATAAAAAAGAATTCTGAGAGTAAAATCAGCATTCTGAGAAAAATTTTTTTAAATCTTTAAAAAAAAAGTTTGAATTCTGAGGCGGGAAAAGTTAAAATTAGCAGATTAAAATAAGATTTCTGAAATTCCAGTCAAAATTGAGATTAGAATCAGAATGTTTAGATTAAAGACAACATTCTAAGAAAAAAAGTCAAAATTATGAGGGAAAAAAACTAAATTCTGAAAGACAAAGCCGAACGTTTGAGAATAAAATGGTTAAAATTCTGAGAAAAATTCAAAATTCTCAAAGGAAAAATCTAAATTCTGAAATTTCAGTGGCTTTAATCATCTTAAGTAAAAATCATACTATAAAAGCTGGCAACGCAATGATGTAAAACATTATTGGCTCACGGCCACTAAAGACCCAAAATAGTTTCTTAGAAAATTACAATATTAAATAAAACTTTTCTGCTTTGGTTTCATCTTTGTCTAATAATTACAGCTGGTATGAAATCTGTTGTGTGTTTTTGTAAATTTTTGATTGTATTTAACTGATTTTAAAACCTGGTAAAGTTCAGATCTTTTACTTTTTCACCTGATGTGTCTGTAATTATGAGTTAATTCTGCATGAAAATAAACGCAAAGTTCAGAAGTGGAAGGAATAATTTTGGGTTTTCACCTCTAAAACGTGCTTCTTGCTGGACTTGTCTTTTGGGGCCCAGTCCACTGACGCTCCCCTCAGATCCACAGTGAACTCTGGTTTGGACTGACTGCCTCCAAACTGGGCGGGGAAGACATAAATATGAAGAAAATAAGAATGAATATAGAAAAAATATGAAGAAATATGGAGAAAGTACGCAGAAATATGAAGAAAATATAAACAGATATGTGGAAAATATGTAGAAATATGAAGAAAATATTAACAAATATGGATAAATACGGAGGAAAATATCAAGAAAAATTTAGAACACATGAAGAAATATGGAGAAAATATGAAAAAATATGAAGAAATATGGAGAAAATATGGAGTAATATCAGAAAAATATGAAGAAAACATGGAGAAATATGGAGAAAACTAAAGTTTAAATTCACTGTTCTGCTGTCAAAGTTTGATATTTATGGCTGAAAAATAATAAATTATTTATCTGAATGCAGATAAACATCCTCCACTGTAAATGTGTCAACACCATCATCTACTTCAATCAGGATTTTCTGATTTGTTTCTGTTTTTTTTGCAGTAATTTAGCCTTTTAAAAATAATGCTCAATCAAAATAGGAAGGTTTATATATAAATCTCCATGTTTCTGTGTATAAGAAAATCAGACTTTGTCACTGTCTGAAGGTTTTTCAGGTTTTATTTGAACTTTGGCAACTTATAATTCTGTCAAAACTCATTATACCACCTATGTCAACTATGACAGCTTTATACACATAAAATTAATATTGTTGCACTAAAAAGAACAGTTAGCTGAAACCTTGATATACAGATGCCACAACTTTATCAATTAATCAGTACAAATAAGTCTGAAGACATGTCTGATAACTGTATAATTATGAAACAATTTAAATGAAGAAAAGCTCACCCAGCTCGTTCCGCCTCCCTGTCCTTTGGCGAACAGCAGCGATGAACCTTGCAGGACTGTCCAAGAGGACGTCCAGTTCTTCCTGCAAAATGCACAAAGATTGATTCAAACGACACTAAAACTCCTGAAGTTAACAAATAGGGTTAAATCTATTTCTACATCTTCCAAAATGGGGTTAGGCATAAAATACCAGAGCTTTATTTGGAAAAAACAGACTTCAATCAGACCGAACGTCTCTAGTTTTAGATAAGTTGGAATGACCTTCATTATTATTGTACAGTCTTACTCTTAGTTTTGCAAATACTGAGTTACAGCACGCGGAAATAAATTAGAAAAGTACATTTTAATATCCAACAATGTGGAAACAGTTTTGTTTTGAGGATTTTTAAAGAAAGTAAAAGAAATCCTCATCGTCTGTCTTTACTCACCGCACTCTCTTCCCGTTCTCAGTGATCTTCGTCACGTTCAGAACGCCACACTTTTCAGACGGCTGCAGAGGAAGAAAACAGGCAGCGGTGCAGAGTTTCAGAGGAAAATTAAACATTTCCACATGCAGCTCTGATTGACACCCGCAGCTGGATCACAGAAAAACAAAAACCTTCACAAACAAAAAGCTTTCTGAAAACAAAACCCAGTCAGCACCGAGCCACCACAGCAACACCGACACTCAGATTAGTCCAAAAACCAATCAAAATGTTCATACAGATTTAAATAAAGTAATTCATATAAATAAAATCTAATCAGTATACGATGCTTTGGTGAAGTTTAATTCCTCTAATTCATTACGTTACAACTTGTGTGTATTTTAGAGATTTTATGTGACTGACCAACACAAAGCAGAACTTAATTATAGAAAAAAATGATTAATGGATTTTTTGTTCTCCCCATTTTCAAGAATAACTACAAACTAAAAAACATGCGATGTGGATTTCTATTAAAACTCCCTGCAGCCAATACTTTGTAAAGAAAAAAAATCACTTTTCACTGCAACTCTTTGTTATTGTGCCTCTACCAGATTAGATATGGGGTGCAGTTTGTCACAGTTTGCTCCAAACTAAATATTTAGTTAGCAAGGTAAATATTTTCAGTCTGAAGCTAATAAATGTGCAGTTTGAAGTTAAATATTTAACTCTAAACTAGAGCTAATTATTTAGTTTGAGGCTAACATGTTAAACTATTTAGTTTATAGCTAAATATTTAGCTTCAATCTTATTATTTAGCTTCCTAAGCAAGGTTAGCAAGCTAAATATTTAGTTAGTAAGTTAGCGTCAAACTAAGTAATTTTACTGTTAAATACTTAGCTTAAAGCTACATATTTAGATTAGAGACTTTTTTTTGCTTCAAACTAAATATCTAGTTCAGAGTTGAATATTTAGCTTCAAAGTTATTTAGTTTCCTAAGTAAATATTTAGTTTGAAGCTAAATATCTAGTTATCAAGTTAGCTTCAAACTAAATATTTATAATTATTGAAAAAAATTTGCTTCAGATTAAATATTCAGTTTATTGCCACCACGACTTGTAAGCAAAATATTTAGTTAGTAAGGTAAATATTTAGTTTTAGGCTAAATATTTATCTTCAAACTGAATATTTAGATATCAAAGTATTTATTTTAACGTCTTTGTGTCGTGCTTTCACATAAAATCCTGAATTCTGCAAACATTTCTCTTGAAATCCATTTAGGAATTGATTCAGACCAGCAATTTCAGATTTTTGATTATGATTTCAACATGCAAATTAAATTGAACACATCTCTTTCAACAAAATAATTCCTGCACAAAATATCCAACTAAAAATCAAATTAAACCAATTTCTGTAAACAAGAATCAAACCAATTCCTACACAGGATATCCTTCCAGTTTACTTTTAAGTCTTAAATGTCCAATATTTTTTATATTCCCTGAGGTTTCCTGTGTAGGAACTCTTCAAAAAGCTGCAAAGCATGTCACCGCTGAAGCCGGCAGACGCGACGCGTGAGGTTAGTGGCGAGTACTAACAGAGGCGGGGGGAGACGTAGGGCTCAGATCAGGGTCAGGAGGGGGGGACCTGGGGGTCTGAGGACCTTCCTAGTGAACAAACATGAGTAAAAAACAAAACACAGAAGCAGATTCACGAGGTTTAAAGAAAAGCAGGTTAATGGAAAACGATGTGAGCTAAAGAAGACGGAGGCGGCTGAATGAGTCTGGTGGTAATCAGGAGTGAGATTATAAAACTGCAGAGTGTGAAGAAGCTCTGAGTAAAAAGCAGAAATGGATTATTAATAAAGCGCTTCATGCTTTTCAGAGAGACACTTTTATATCAACCCAGCATGTAGAATCCATGTAAAATTTAATCCAGCTGAAACATCACCATCTACAAAAACTCTGAATTAATATGAGCTGCAGCAACATTGGGGTCACTAAAATACTTTTGATTTAATTTGACTTGATTTACCCTGCACTGCAAAAACAGAAAGTTCCTACCAAGTATTTTTGTCGTTTCAAGTTCAAGAAAAAAATAAGCAACTTTTCACCAAGTTAAAGAAACTTTCATATGTCAATAATTCCTTTATGTTGATGAAAACTGGCAGATTATTTCATTTTTCCCATAAGAGAAATCATCTGCCAGCGGAACCTTACAAAGGAATTAGCCACTTAAAAATGCTTCTACATCTTGCTGCAAAGTTACTTGTAAGTTAATTCAAGTGTACTAAAATATACACACCACTAAATTTACAAAAATTCTGGGTAAGATTTTGTGTTTTTGCAGTGTGTGTATCAGGTAACAGCAGAAGAACACTACAAAAACACAAAATCTGAAGTATTTTTGGTGCAGTAATATAGTGCAAATATTTTAGTGCACTTAAAATAAGATAGATCTAACTTGTAAGTAACTTTTCACTAAGATACAGGAGCTTTTTTACGTCAATAATTCCTTTATATTGATGAAAAGGTTCTTTCGGCAGATTATTTCACTTCTAACGAGACATTTCTACCACGTAATAAGTGACATAATCTGACAGTGGAAGTAGAACTTCTTCATCGATGTCAAGGAGTTTTTCACTTAAAAATGCTCCTATATCTTACTGAAAAGTTACTTGTAAGTTAGTTTTCTCTTATTTCAGGCGTACTAAGACATTTGCACTCGAAACTAAGCACAAATACCTGGAAAGATTTTGTGTTTTTGCAGTGTTGTGTTCATGATTAAGGTGAAAATTTCACTGCAAAAAGGATTTTTTTTTTTTGTCTAGTTTCTAGTGAAAATACTTTGGTACACCTGAAATAAGAGAAAACTAACTTACAAGTAACTTTTTATCAAGATGTGGGAGTTTAATTTAAATAAATTATTCTTTGATATTATTGAAAAAAATACTAGTTTCAATGGCAGATTATTTCACTTTTGACATATGGAAAAATATCTTGTTATAAGTGAAATAATCTACCAATTGAACTTTTATATCAAGGAGTTATTCACTTAAAACAAGCTCCTATATCTTGACAAAAAGTTACTTGTAAGTAACTTTTCTCTTATTTCAGGCGTAGTTAGATATTTGCACTAGAAACTAGATAAAAATACTTTGTAATATTTTGTGTTTTTGCAGTGAACAGATCAAATCGTCACTGTAGCTGTTTGATCGTCTTCATGCAAGCTGATTGTGTTTAAATGGGGAACTTTTCCTCCCCAATGGGGCCGACTACTGACTTGCTGTTTGTACGGGTGTTGGCGAACAGAACCGGAGCGGGCCCGCCTGCTTTTTAATGGCCGCTGCAAAGGAATGAGTCTGCAGCTAAGATCTGGCTGTGTTAAAGCTTGATAAGTTTTGTTCTCTACAGTGTTTCTGGGTTATAATTTTGAAGACAGAGACCTTTTCGCTCGGCTCCTGGACGTAGGCGCTGTGCCTCCATTTTGTCAAGACGATGGGCTCGACGTTGTTCCGGTCCAAACTGCGGCTCTTCGGTCCGTCTCCGGCCGGCTGAGGTGGCGACAGGTTGTACTGCAGCAGAGGAGGAAAAATGAAAAACAAAAACCAAACTGAAATTATTTTTCTTCTGAAATACTAAAGAATGAAACTAAACATGTGAAGATTTTTCAGCAAATTGGTAAATTTTCTGTTCCCAGAGTTTCTAAGAAATGACAGAATTACCTTCAGGTATTAAATAAAAATATGATGGACGGATGGAAGAACAAAGAGATGAGAGGATGATGGATGAAGAGAAAGATGGACAAATGGATGGATACATTGAAAAATGAAGGGATGACAGGATGATGGATGAACAGAAAGACGCATGAAAGGATAGAAAGATCGAGAAAAAATATATTTCATATGGATGGATGGATTTAAAAATGAAGGGATGGGAGGATGAACAGAAAGAGATGAAACAATGGATGGATGGATGGAAAAACAGAGGGATGAATGGATGAATGATGAATGGAAAGATGGATGAAAGGATGGATAGATGTAAAAATGAAGAGATAAGAGGATGTTTGGTGAATAGAAAGATGGATGAACGGATGGATGGATGGATGGACGAAGAGAAGAACAGAGATGAGAGGATGCATCCATCCATCAATAGAAAGATGGATGGATGGATGGACGGACGGATGGATGGATGGACGGATGGACAGACGGACGGACGGATGGATGGATGGATGGATGGACGATGGATGGATGGATGAACAGTTGGACAAACAGATGCACTAAAAATGGATAAAACACTAAAAAAATAAATTCTCACTTCTTGTTAATTAACTTTAAATCATTTGAAGAGTCGATGTAAAAAAAGATACGATGATCAGTCGGTGCATCTACTGAACAAAGGTCATTAAAAATATTTTTTCCAACAATTTCAGTTTAGAAAGCAAATATTTTTTCACTCTGCAAATAAAAATCTAACAAGTTTTCTTTTTCCTCCGACAAACTGCAAAGCATTAATTTAGTCGCCACCTTTTCCTGCTTTTTCCACCAAACTATTAATGAAAACTAAAACTATTAAATGAATTCATATTTAACAGAAGTCTTAACTCTAGAAAAATTGTCAGCAAAGTTAAATCTTGGAGTTCCATCGTTTTTTTTATTTTGTTTTTTTTTATTTATTATTTTTTACTTTTTTCCCCAGCGACTTACCTTCGGCAGCTCCCATTCTGACCTGGAGCCGTCGGCGCTGTAGTAATAAGGCCTTCCCTGGTCATCGACATGTTTTAACCACTAGCAGCGCAAAAAGTAAAGAAAAAATAAAATATATAAAGAAAATTATAATAAAACAGACACGGAAGAGAAAATAATTTCCTGTTTTCTGGTTTGCAACCTTGTTGTTTTGTAATATTGTCCCAGGACGGTCAAGCCAGTGCAAAAAAATAAAATAAAATAAAAAAAATCAGTTACACTGCAAGAGGAAATTTACTATAATAACCACAAAAACTGGGTAAATCAGCACTTTTCAAGCACTTTCAAGGTAAGCTTTAAAACCTTTCCAGCACCACACTTGAGTTAAAATCTATACAAATCAACTAAAAAGGAAGTTTCAATTCACTATAATACAAAATCATTTAATACCGGCATTGATCATATCTTGTAATAGTTCTACATTCTGTAATAGAGTCAAAGGAAACTAAAATATAACAAAATGTTGTGGTTTGTAAATGTCTCACACACACCCTATAAACCTGATTATAAGTTTTCTGGTAGAAATAGAAATAATTGTGACTCTAACAAAGTTAAAATAAAGAAAATTTGGTCTGATTTAACTCCAGAGAGTGAGAGAAAATTAATGTTTTTATTAACTGTATAAAATTATCTGGTTTCAATTGCAAATTATGTTTTAGAAATTTTGAGTTATTAAATCACTAGGTTTATTACAAAACTGTGCAGTTCGAATGTCAACCACTTTCAAAGACTTTATGCAGAAATCAGCAACTTTAAATATTAAAAATAACATTTTCTTTTTGTAGTATTCACCTGCAAACAAAAGGACTAAATCTGGTTCTGCTTTGTCCTTATGGAAAAGGAGTAGCGCCGCGAAAACAAAAATAAAAAACACTCCGACTATAATCTCAGAATGTTGACTTTTTTCCAAAGAATTTTGACTTTGTTTTCATATTTAATCTCAGAATTTTCACGGAGATTAACTTTTTGACTGAGACTAATCATTCCGATTCTATTCCCAGAATTCCGACTAACTCTCAGAATTCCAACCTTTTTTTTTTTTTTTTTTTTTTTTTTTTTTCTTGTTCCTTCATTTATATTCCAACTTAAGTTTTGTGGTTTTTTTTTTGATTAAATCGAATTTACT